GAGTCAGGCGGCGGCAGGGACGACTGCGGCTGCGGGTAGAAAAACGGTCGGCGCGGGGCAGTACCAGCAGCTCTAGCTCCTCCACCACCAGCAGCACCAGCACCTCTAGCACCAGCAGCTCCAGTAGCACCTCCAGCGCCTCTAGCACTAGCAGTACCACGAGCTCCGGCAGCGCCAGCACCTCTAGCACCAGCAGTACCTCCAGCACCTCCAGTGCCTGCAGCTCAAGTGGCACCTCCAGCACCTCCAGCACCAGCAGCACCACCTGCTCTGGCAGCTCCAGCACCTCTAGTACAAGCACCTCCAGGACCAGCAGCTCCAGCACCTCCAATACCTCCAGTACCTCCAGCACCTCCGGTGCCAGTAGCTCCAGTAGCACCTCCAGCACCTCCAGTACCTCCAGCTCCAGCGCCTCCAGCACCAGCAGTACCTCCAACACCTCCAGCACCAGCAGCACCAGCACCTCTAGTGCCAGCAGCTCCAGCACCAGCTGGACCTCCAGGACTAGCAGCTCCAGCACCTCCAGCACTAGAAGCACCTCCAGGACTAGTAGCTCTGGCACCTCTAGCACCAGCAGCACCTCCAGTACCTCCAGGACTAGCAGCTCCAGCACCTCCTGCACCAGCAGCACCTCTAGAAGTACCTCCAGCACCTCCAGCACCAGCAGTTCCTCCAGGACTAGCAGCTCCAGCACCAGCAGGACCGTACCCTCCACCACGAGGACTGCCTCGCCGAATGATCCACGCACAAATCTGCTGCGGCGAGAGCGTCTCGAGTAGATCAGGCTGCTGTGGCTGTCCAGCACCAGGACCTCCAGCCGGGTCAACCACAGCTCCACCGCCACTAGGACTCGCAGCACCCCCAGGGTCAGCACCCCCAGTCGCAGCACCCCCAGAACCCTCACCCTCTGTCTCATAAACCCCAGAACCCTCACCCCCAGGCTCAGCACCAGCATTCTCAGCTCCAGAGTCCACAGCAGCAGGCTGCGGAGGCAGCGAAGATGGCCGAGGCGGAAAACCAGAGGGGGTCTCCAAGCGTGGAGAGCGGCGAGTGGCCGCCGTGTCGTCAGTGGCGGGGTCACCCCCCTCAGCTGGGCCAGAGGAGTCAGAAGAGATCTCCAAAGGCTCAACCAAGAGGGGTGGGTCTACCTGAGACACACCTGAGGGAGCAGGACCCTGTGGGGGGAGGGGGTCTACCGGGGGGGGACTGGTACCAAGAAAAGAGGCGCTAGGGGGACCGGGTGGGCCGCGTGCGGGTGTAGCCTGTAGAAACAAACAGACTCGTCAAAGGTGACGTCCTGGGAGGAGAAGACTCGACGCTCGCGCGGGTGGTAGAACTGCCACGGCGGGGCGTTGGTGGGGAAGCCAAGGAAGACGCAGCGGAGAGTGCGAGAGGAGAGCTTGCTCACTTTGGCATCATGAACAAGGGAGAGCGCGCCCCAGACCCGAAACACCGGCGCATCGCCAACCTTCCCTGTCCACCGGAGTATGGGCGAGGTCTCTGGCTCAGAGACACGGGGCCAGAGGTTGAGCTGATGCGCAGCGTATCGGACCGCAAACGGCCACAAAAAATGGGGAGCAGCCGCATGGGTCATGGAGGTACGAGCAACCTCCATGATCAAGCCAATGCAACACTCAGCAATCCCATTTTGCCGAGGAGAGGCCGGAAGCGTGAATGTCAGGAGGATTCCCTTGTCTCAACAAAACTCCGCAAGGAGGTCAGAAGAGAGCTCACCGCCGCTGTCAGAGTGCAGACACAGGATTGGGAAGTCCCGACGAAACCGCTCGCGCAGCTGGCGACGAGTAGCACGGATCCAGGGGATCAAAACACCGCTGACGTCCGCCTTGCGCCGCAAGGGGAAGACAATGGTGTAACATGTGTAGTCGTCAACAACCAGCAGGAAGTAGCGCTCTTGGTCCGTTCCACCGACGGGGGCCGGGCCCCAAACGTCCATGTGGAGAGTCTGCAGAGGAGCAATGGTCGGAGGAAACATGGAAACATTTTCCAGGAAGAGTGCGGAAACATGGAAACTCGGAGGAGTGAGGAGCGGCGCGCTGCCGCCCCTCGACGCAGGGAAGGCACGGCGGGGCAGGCGAGCGTGGGAGGGAGGGCATGGACCTCGGAAGGCAAGAGACAAGGAGACGGGAGTGCATGCTGCGGAGACGCGGTAGGAAGGGGTGACTGAGGCGGTGGTGCCAGAGGAGAGTCTGGTGGGAGAGTACCCGACACGAGCAAGAAGCTGCAAGCTGACCAGACGCACACACCTGACTCGACGCAGCCACCTGACCTGACTCAGCCACCTGTGCAGACGCAGTGGTCAGTGTGTAAAGACTAGACCCAGGCCGTCGAGTGAACGTAGCAAGGTGACGGCCAATCCGGGAGCACGTACAGATCACCACGCACTGCCTTCCAGGAATAAAGATCAACCCAGACATCCTGAATGGAAGCGTTGCTCACCAAGTTCGTCGAGAACGTAGGGAGGTGGAGACCTGACAGAGAACCGGAGGGGACTGCTGGACACGGGAGGACAGTGGAAGCTCGTGCGACTACTGGGTCCCCCGTAGGGTTAGCCAGTGAGACTGGTACCAGTGTAGCAAGTGGTGTGAGTGTGGTGCAGTCACGAAAGAAGCAACGTGCCTGAGTCAAGTGTGAAAGTGTGCAAGGCCTCAGCTGAGGCAGGACCTGTGGCTGGAGACGTACGAGCACCTAAAGCTGCAGCAGACTCACTAGCTCCTAGTGCGGCAGTAGACTCTTTAGCACCTAGAGCAGCAGCCTCTACAGAACCAGGGACACATCGCTAGAAAACAACTCACTAATCAGTTGCGAGGAGAAGGTCTCCTGCTGACTCTGCTGCCGCCGCTGTGCAGTACGCAGAAAACCAAAGCCTCCACCACCTGGACGGGCTCGCTGAATAACCCACTCGCGAAGTTGCTGCGGGGATTGCGTGTCCGGGAGAGGCAGAGGCTGCTGCTGTCCACCCTTAGCTGCTGCGACTACCGTGATAGTGGCCATGACAGGCAGTGGCAGTCAGTAGCAGCGGCGCAGGGGCAGCAGTAGCGACTGCTGTAGTGACTGCGGAGGCCAGTAGAATGCGTGGGCAGCAGGGCACAGGCTAGCGCAGCAACCGCAGTAGTGCCAGCAGTGGCAGCACGAGCAGCAGCAGCAGTAGTAGCAGCAGTCGTAGCAGTAGCAGTAGGAGCAGCAGTAGGACAGTGCGGCTCAGTAGGGGCAGGGTAGCGCGGCTCGGGCAGGGCAGCGCTGCTCGGCAGGGCAGAGCGCTGCAGTAGCAGCGTGTGCAGCAGCAGCAGTAGCAGCATCGTACAATAACAGCAGCAGCGTGGTTAGCAGCAGCAGCAGCAGCAGCAGCAGCAGCTCATGCAGCAGCGGCGCGCTGGGCAGCAGGGCGCGCTGGCGCGTTTAGGGTTGCGGGGCGCGCCGACGTGCTTAGTAGCGGGGCGCGCTGGCGCGCTGGGCTGCAGGGCGCACTGGCGCGCTGGCGCGCGAGGCTGTGGGGCGCGCTGGCGCAGGAGCTGCTCGCGGGCAGCAGGGGCGCTTGAAGCAGGGGCTGCTCGCAGGCAGCAGTGGCGCGCGGGGCAGGGGCTTCTCGCAAGCAGACAGGGCAGGGGCTGCTCGCGGGCAGCAGGGGCGCTCGGAGCAGGGGCTGCTCGCAGGCAGCAGTGGCGCGCGGGGCAGGGGCTGCTCGCAAGCAGCAGGGGCGCACGGGGCAGGGGCTGCACGCGGGCAGCAGGGGCCGCGAGGCAGGGGCTGCTCGCGGGCAGCAGGGGCGCGCGTGACAGTAGGGCAGCGTGCTAGGGCAGGCAGTGCGAGTAGTTGCAGTGCAGCGTGACACTGTGCGAGAGGGCTGGATAGCGCAAGGGCGCTTCGGGGCAGGAACTAGCGGAACGATCCGTGGGCCCTAAAAACTTAACAGGTTTCCTGCTCTGAATACCTTTTCAGAATCAACTGTGCAGGAATGAATGAACTATGAATGAGTTGGGTACAAGTACTAACCCTAAAGTGTTGTACTCTTTGTAGGCTAACTCATTATAGCCTAGAGAGAACAAAAACATATAGTTTGACAACATGCCCAGGGCCAGCCTGACTGGGTACACCTTGGTATGTAGCCCGTCAGCTTCGTTTTTTTGCTTCCCAGGGTTTCCAGCCACCTTCTATTTTGTGTACGCCTGCTGGCTATGAAAATGAAGGAACTGGTTGTGACTGCTACCAGATTGAATATGAAATGACAAAAGTCATTGTGTCTGAGATATATGGATGATGATGATTATACCGTATATAAATAATTATTTATACACATACGGCATACATATAAACGAGGGACTCATGGAGATGGCGAAGGCATCCCTGCGAAAATGGGCAGTGGGGGGACCTGCCGCGTCCTTCTCCCGTATGTGAATTAACTAGCAGGGGGGGCATCTCACCAGCAGCGTGAGGGATCAATAATGCGCAACCACCACTGCACCTTTCGTTGTTGGCTGCACCATGGAGCAATGGTGGTCGTTGGTGGGGAGAGCAGAGCAAAGCAAGCAGCGAGAGCACATGCAGCACTTGCGCCACCCCCACTTCCCCCATCACCTCTGCGCCTTCCTTCGTGGGCATGCAAGCAGCTACAGAGCACTAGCATCATAGCATGGAGTGGGTGGGGGCAGAAGGTGCAGCAGGTAGTGGATGAAGACCCGCACTTGAGCCTTCCCCACCCTCCCCCACCGCCACTGTGCCTTGTGCTGTCGGTTTCACCATGGAGTAATGATGGCCGTTGGGCTCTGCTGTGTCGCAAACCGAGCGGCGTTCACCTGCCCTCCCTCCCTCCCTCCCTCCCTCCCTCCCTCCCTCCCTCCCTCCCTCCCTCCCTCCCTCCCTCCCTCCCTCCCTCCCTCCCTCCCTCCCTCCCTCCCTCCCTCCCTCCCTCCCTCCCTCTGCTGTTGGCTGCACCATGGAGCAATGGTGGTCGTTGGTTGGGGAGAGAAGAGCAGAGCAAGCAGCTAGAGTGCGCTTGCACGGAGTGGGGGAAGCACATGCAGCAGGTAATGAACGAAGGCCCTCACTTGACCTTCCCCCACGTCCCCCACCACCACTGCCCCTTCTGATGTGGGCTGGACTACAGAGTAATGATGGTCGTTAGGCTCTGCTGTGTCGGCATATCGAGGGGCGTCCACCTGCCACGTGTCCAGCACTGTTGCTGCCCCAACGGGCAATGCTGCCAGCTCAGCGGATCGGCCTGATGATGGTGATGATGATGTTGATGGCGATGGTGATGATGGTGGTGATGGCAATGGCGATCCTGCTCTCTCCATGCCTTCCCCCTCTTCTTCCACGTCCCGCGGCAGCACCTGCAGGCTCGAATCAAGGTACACCAGCTTCTCTATCCCTCCTCCACTTCCCCCTCCCCCACTTCCCCCTCCTCCCCCACCAACATCCCCCTTTTGCACCCCTCCTACCCTCCCTTCCTCTAATCTCTCCAAACCTCTTCCCTCTCCCTCCGCTCCTCCCTCCTCCAGCCCTACTCTTCCCCCCTGAACTATCCTCTTCAGCAGCACATTAACCGCCATAATCACCCGGTTCTTAGCCACAGGAAAAGACGGGATAGTTCGGAAAATAACCCTCCCTTTTGCAGGTGCGGCGGCAAGTGCCCACCGAGCAAACTCCTCGAGGTGCACTCGGAGGGCCTTGAGGGGCTGGCGGCAGAAGGAAGCTGCCCAGTAGCCTCCTTCAAAGAGCGTGACGTCAGCAGTGGTGGAGATGTTGGGGAAGCTCTCCAGTCGGTTGGTGGTCTGGCCCCGATGGCTGGTGGTGGGGGGGGGGGGGGGGGGGGGAGGGAAGGGAGGGTGGGGATGGGGGGAGTTGGTGGGGAGTTGGGAGGGAGGAAGATCTTTTGAGGCGCCTCGAAAGCAGAGGAGATGTCGGGGAAGGCTTCCGATCGGTTAGTGGTCATGCCCCAATGGCTGGTGTCGAGGGGAGGGGAGGGATTTGCGGGGGTGGGGAGGAGAGGAGGGGGGGTTGAGGAGGGGGGAGGGGAAGGAGAGGGGGGGGGAGGCGAAAGGGGGGTGCGGAAATCGGGATAGGTGGGAGGGAACAGCTCTGATTAGTTGGTGTTGAAGCCTTGAATCCCATCATATCCCGTTCAAGCCCATTAAAGCCCCGTTCGAGTCACCATCCAAACCAATCACTCACGCGCAGCCGAATTCGCCATTCTTATAGATCCCGTCAATCCAATAAAAGTTGATCCTCAGCGTGCGGTTGCTGCTGTCTCGTGGGTAAAACACCAGGTCGTCCCGCCACCGCTTCACACCCCTCTCCGCCTTCCTGGTGAGCAGGAAGTGCAGGTGCGCTGCCAGGTAGCGCTGGTGGCTGTCCCCCACGATGCTGATCTCCCGAATGCCCCTCTCGTGCAGCGCGCCTATCCAGTCAGAAGAAGGCGTCTCGGGGTGCGTGCACCGGTAGAACGCCCACCTGGTGGGATATTTGGAGAGGTAAGGAGGGGGGGAATGATGTGCTGCCAGGTACCGCTGGTGGCTGTCCCCCACAATGCTGATCTCCCGAATGCCCCTCTCGTGCAACGCGGCTATCCACTCGGATGGGGGAGTCCCCGGGGGGTGCAGCGGTAGAAAGCCCATCTGTAGGAGTGGGGGAGTGGGGGAGTGGGGGAGTGGGGGAGTGGAGGAGTGGGAGTGTGTGCGGTGAGCAGGGAGCAAGTGCAGGTGAGCAGCAAGTGCAGGTGCGCCGCCAGGTACCGCTGGTGGCTGTCCCCCACGATGCTGATCTCGTGAATCCCCCTCTCGTGCAGCGCGCCTATCCAGTCCGATGGGGGAGTTTCAGGGTGCGTGCACCGGTAAAATGCCCATCTGGGGAGGAGGGGGGATGGGGGATCGGGGGAAGGGGGAGTGGTGGTGGGGCGTGGGGATGGGGAGTGGGGATAGGGAGTGGGGATGGGGAGTGAGTGGGGATGGGGAGTGGGGATGGGGAATGGGGATGGGGAGAGAGTGGGGATGGGGAGTGGGGAAGGGGAACGGGGATGGGGAGTGGGGATGGGGAATGGGGATGGGGAGTGAGTGGGGATGGGGAATGGGGATGGGGAATGGGGATGGGGAGTGAGTGGGGATGGGGAGTGGGGATGGGGAATGGGGATGGGGAGTGAGTGGGGATGGGGAGTGGGGATGGGGAATGGGGATGGGGAGTGAGTGGGGATGGGGAATGGGGATGGGGAATGGGGATGGGGAGTGAGTGGGGATGGGGAGTGGGGATGGGGAATGGGGATGGGGAGTGAGTGGGGATGGGGAGTGGGGATGGGGAATGGGGATGGGGAGTGAGTGGGGATGGGGAATGGGGATGGGGAATGGGGATGGGGAGTGAGTGGGGATGGGGAGTGGGGATGGGGAACGGGGATGGGGAGTGAGTGGGGATGGGGAGTGGGGATGGGGAATGGGGATGGGGAGTGAGTGGGGATGGGGAGTGGGGATGGGGAACGGGAATGGGGAGTGAGTGGGGATGGGGAGTGGGGATGGGGAATGGGGATGGGGAGTGAGTGGGGATGGGGAGTGGGGATGGGGAATGGGGATGGGGAGTGAGTGGGGATGGGGAGTGAGTGGGGATGGGGAGTGGGGATGGGGAATGGGGATGGGGAGTGAGTGGGGATGGGGAGTGGGGATGGGGAACGGGAATGGGGAGTGAGTGGGGATGGGGAGTGGGGATGGGGAATGGGGATGGGGGAGTGAGTGGGGATGGGGAGTGGGGATGGGGAACGGGGATGGGGAGTGAGTGGGGATGGGGAGTGGGGATGGGGAATGGGGATGGGGAGTGAGTGGGGATGGGGAGTGGGGATGGGGAACGGGGATGGGGAGTGACTGGGGATGGGGAGTGAGTGGGGATGGGGAGTGGGGAGTGGCGAGTGGGGATGGGGAATGAAGAGCTTGACACCCACTCGAACGGGGGGCTTTAAGGAGCCGTGCAACGGTAGGAGCCAATCTGGGGAGGAAGGGGGGATGGGGGGAGTGCGGAAGGTGGGAAGGGTGTTTGAGGCGCCTCAAAAGACTATCCACACCCATTCGGCCACGCACACTGTCCATCAACACCTATCTGCACCCATCTTCACCCATCTGTACCTGTCGACACGCACATACCTGAGTGACCCATTCGCCTTCACCACCCATCGCCCCGGCACTGACGTCCCATTGCACGGGGAATCCGGCCAATCCCGTGCCGCCTCCTGCTCCTCCTCCCCCTCCCCCTCCCCCTCCCCCTCCCCTTTCCCCTCCCCCTGCCCCTCGCCTGCTTCTGAATGAGTGACAGCTGTGCTGGTGGTACTGCTGCCACCTGTGCTGCCGCTGCCGCTGCCGCCGCGGCTGCGGATGCTGCCGCCACCGCCGCTGCCAATGCTGCTGCCACTAATGCCAGGAGTGCCGGTTCTGGCCTGCAAATTGCCACGTGGCGTGATTGTGATTGGCCAGGAGGCAAGGCTGTGCTGGAGCGTGCGGTTGAAGTGGTGCGTGAAGGAGGCGGAGAAGTTAAGATTGGCAAACCCCACGTGCAGCGTCGCCCTGCGGGGGGGAGGGGAAGTGGGAGGAAGCGCACGAGTGAGGGATGGGGGTGGCATGGGGATGGCGGGGTGGCAAAAGTGGTGATGTTGAGGTTGGCGCACCCCACGTGCAGCGTCGCCCTTGGGGGGTGGGGGGGGGGGGGGAGATGTGGTGGGGGTTAGAGAGGGGAAGGGGCCGGCATGCGAGGGAGGGAGCGGCTGGGTGAGAAGTTGGTGGAGAGGTTGAGGTTGGTGCGGCCCGCGTGCAGCGTCGCAGTGCGCTGAAGAGCGGGGCTGGGTGGGATGGGGGCGGGCGGCATGGGGAAAGCCAGAGATGCACAAGCAAGGGAGGAAGCGGCTGGGAGCGAAGGAGGCGGAGAAGTTGAGGTTGGCGAGCTCCACATGCGGCGTTGCCCTGCGGGGAGGAGCGGAAAGGGGAAGAGCGGAAAGGAGAAGAGCACGGGTGGGGCATGGGGAAGGCGGGGTGGCGAAGGAGGCGGGGAAGTTGAGGTTGGCGAGCTCCACATGTGGCGTCGCCCTGCGGGGAGGAGCGGAAAGGAGAAGAGCGGAAAGGAGAAGAGCACGGGTGGGGCATGGGGAAGGCGGGGTGGCGAAGGAGGCGGGGAAGTTGAGGTTGGCGAGCTCCACATGTGGCGTCGCCCTGCGGGGAGGAGCGGAAAGGGGAAGAGCGGAAAGGAGAAGAGCGGAAAGGAGAAGAGCGGAAAGGAGAAGAGCACGGGTGGGGCATGGGGAAGGCGGGGTGGCGAAGGAGGCGGGGAAGTTGAGGTTGGCGAGCTCCACATGTGGCGTCGCCCTGCGGGGAAGAGCGTGGAGGGGGGAGCACGGGCGGAGGGAAGGTGGGGCTATGGGGTTAACACACATGGGAAGAGAGGGAGTGGCTGGGAGAGAAGGAGGCGGAGAAATGTGAGGTTGGCGTAACCCACATGCAGCGTCGTCCTGGAGTAAGGGGCGCAGAGGAGGCCAGCAAGGAGGGCGGGGGGGGGGGCATGGGGAAAGTACGGGGGAACATTGGGGAAGGTTCGGGGAAAGGATGTTTTAAGGTACGAGATTAAACCCTTAAACCCTCAACCCGAAACCCTAACCTGGTACGAGATTAAATGCAATGCAAAGAGGACTATGATGCAGGGCCAAACATCAACACTGTGCCAGAGATTCACACTGTCAACAGTAATTGGCGCAAATTGATAATTGTAACAACCCAAAAGACGAAACCAGAATTTTAGCTATCAGCAGTATTTTAGTAAGTAGAAGGGAACGTTCTATGCCGGTGTCTTGTTTGCTGACACGAAGCTGTGAAGGGTTCGGATTGGATTGATGCTGATGTGGAACGATCGGAGCTGTCGATAGCCTTGTGTCAGAAGACTTGACACTGGCCAAGAACCAAAATAGCGAACCAATCAAAAGCCCCCACTCAAATTGCATGCCAACAGAAACCCTAAGTTTTCTAAGTTTCTCCGGGCACCCATGCCAAAAGCAACTTTCTGCTTTGTTGGAGCTCCCTCGAAACTTTTGACAGAGCAACTTGCGGGTTGGTAATTCAATTCAAAACCTAGCCCTCCTACCCATCTGTTTTTGCGATGCACAAAGTGCAAAGGAGTTGGGAGGGATTCAAAGGTGGTGCCAAGGGGTTGGCAGGGATATGGATGGGGTGCGAACAGAGACAACAGAAGAGCAGATTGATGGGGAGTAGATTAACTTCTCCACTTGATTGAGGGGTCTCGAGGTTAGACTCACCAGTAATTGCCGAGGTCCCACGCGCGGTACGACACTCTAAACTCCGTGCAGTGCGGGGGGTCTAGACACCTAATGTCCCCGTGGGCTAGAGCGGAGCCTCTTAAAGTCAGAGTTAAGTCGCGCTTCCACCAGCTCTCCGCCTTCAGCACGTGCGCCCAGTGCGCGGACACGCGCACAGACACGCGGAAGGAGCAGCGCTGCCCGCGCAGACACGTGGTGCAACCTGGGCCGTGGATCACCACTCCTGAAGGGGAAGGGGATGAATAGTCTGCGGAGACATATGCACATGCGAAGCAAGGGAGGGCGGGAAAAGGGTTGCAGAAGGGAATCTTTTATAGGAGGGTTGCATTGCATGAGAGTGATCTTCCGGGCGCCTTAGAAAACCTCCCTGGGAGAGGAGGTGATGTATAGTCTGCGGTGCGGAGCTTTATGAATATGCGAAGGGAGGGAGCACAGGGAAATGCGATGAGCGGAAAAGAGGAAGGCGAGGAGCGCGGACGACGTCAAACCTCGTCCGCCGATTTCACCGCGATTCTGGAATATTCCCCCTGGATTGGAATTTTGGGATGCACTCGTTGCCAATTTTCGAGGAGCTTGGCTTTCCCATGCAATTCCGGCTCATTTTGGGTTACCTAATCTTTTGGGAGCTCAGCTATTCGGGCTCATTTTAGGCGGCGCCTAGTAGTAATAAATAAGCAACACTTTCCATGTGATTTGAAATCTGATCTTAGCCTTTCTTAGAGGCGCCTAAACAACACGCAATTCATTTCTCTCATGCTCTTCGAAATCTTACCTCCTGACGACGTCCAGCACACTCTGAGGCGCATAAATTAAATTGGCGGCGCCTCAAAATACGAGGAGCGCGGACGTCCGGCGGCATACTCGTCGACGTTTTCTGAGACGCCGTTTATTTAGACGCCCAAAGAGTACGCAATGTCTTACCTCCTGAAGACGTCCAGCATACTCGTCGTCGTCTGGGCTGCGCTACGCTGCCATCGGAAACGCCGGAAGCAACGCAAATGGCGGCAGCGCCAGCAGCGGCATCGCCTGTAGCGGTACTAGGGCCACTAGTAGCGGCGGCGCCGTTGACGGCGTTACTATCCCCTGTTGCGTCTGAATTGTAGGCGACAAGCAGCGGATTTCGCAGCGGCAGGGGGAAAAGAGGGCCCCATCCGCCGCGGAAACTTCCGCCTGCTCCCCCTGCTGCCGCCAATCCCGCCACGCTCATGCTTTCCGGTCCCGCATCGGTTCTGGTGACCCATGGCGGCAACGATTCGGCTATAACGAGTAAAAGGAGGCACAGGTTGACGGAAACGAGTACGTAGTGAGACCAGTCCATAGAATAGACCGATCGATGGCTCCTCTCCTCGTTTGTAGAACGTCCCGTTTTTATCCCGAAGGTTGTCAGCATGTGCGAAACTACACGAGAGACGCACGACAGGTGTGACGCTGACGACGTTGGCGACGGCACGGGGAGTGCATGCGACGATCGCGAACTGAGCTGTGATGCGTGCGACACATAGTCCGCTATCGAAGTGCGAGTTTCTAGACCACTCGAGTGATATACGTGCCCGTTCAACCTACCCATGACTCCTACCACATGCACCTGTTATGAACAGGGACAGAATAGCGCCTCGAGAATAACCTATTGGGTCTGACACACAGTTGTCAGATAGGACAATCTTCTCAAGGCACTTGGCGAGTAAAGCTTGACCTGAAGCTATTAAAAATAGCGTCCCCTTTGCGAAGCTCAAGAACAGCCGTTCCTGAGCAAGATTCTTGGACTCATGCACTCGGGTGAAACGGAGAACTGGCAAGGAAGGCAGCTAGTAGATTAGTACTAGAGCTCGAATCCGAGGTAGAACCAATGCAGCTGATGATAACGATAACGAAAACTCTCGACGGTCATCGATGCCACTTGTGCTGATTGAAACACAAATGGCCGCTCGCTTCATGATCAGAATGCTTTCTCCTAAGTGCGACGTGCACTGCTCACTCTCTTGATTTTTTAGGTTTGGGTATCGAGATTAACTTCTGCCCTCGATTATTGCTGCTCTTCGAGAACCTACACCAATTCGCTGCTTGAATATCGATGTGCTATTTGGAATCAGATTCCTCTTTTTTTTTTTTTTGTTCTCAACGCGAATCCTCACCGTCGATGGGACTATTTCTGCAGGGTGAAAACCAACTTCAAGGGCGACGATGACTTGACAACTTGGATGGATGGAATTCTGAAGAACCAAGTTCAAGTAATTTGCAATGCAAGTCCGGCGAGTTTCGTGAATCGTCGGCTTGACAAGAACTGCGGGAACCACGCAAACCGGTTATTTTGCCAGAAGCCGTCTTTCTTACGAGACGCGCTTGGCGCCCGAGCTGCATTTATCGGGCACATTGCTGACGTGCCCTGGCCGGCCTAGCCATGGATAGCCCATCAGCTTGGTGTTTTTGCTTTCCACTTCCCACGACGCGCCGCGATACATCACCCCAGCCGGCCAGAAAAAATAAATAGCCTACTCAATAGCCTTGGGGTGGTTGGTATGTGTTACGAGTGCAATTGAGTAAGCGAGCGAGGATTGCACTATCGAGGCAAGAATACAATGAGCGAAGGATTGAGCGAAGAATATATAGCGAAGCTACCGTCATACCCCGGATATACCCCCATGGGGGGCACTAATAAAACATGTTTTTTTTAGGGGGTGGGCTTATAATATAGTAAAATTATAAGCGCCGGCGTTTATGTTATGTCAAAAATGAAATTTGTTTTTAAATATACCAAATCGAAGCATTCTCAAAGGCGGATTCACCTGAGTCGAGAACGTTCAACTCTGTGCATGCTTTGCGCGTGAAACGGCCAACAAGGCGTGGCATCACGCCTTCCACGCCTTGTTGGCCAGGCCATGTTCATCGAACGTGAACCTGGCCCATGCCAGGGCACACGTACTTCGCATCACAGCGGCCCAATCAGGGTTGCATGCGATCGTGGGCACGTCGTGGTTCAGCCACGACGTGCCCATCAACAGCAAGATTCCCTGCCACCGAGGCAAAGAGCTGTCCCTTTCAGCTCCTCTGCGGGGAATCTTGACTGTGGCCACACTTTCCCCGCAGAGGAGGCCGGGCCGCGAAACTGAAGGGGTCTCGGGCGAGGGCTTCATACGGCCCTCATTCCCAACTTTTGGTTCAGTTTTCTTCGTTCGTTTGGCCTGCCGTGGCCATGGCGGGCCTTCCAGGCACGCATTTCTTGTTCCGCCGCAAACCTGCTGCTAGAGAAAATACCCGCAGAGACACTCGTGACTACTCTCAATGGTAGACGCGCCCTGCGCCCATCCCTCCACCACAACCAGTAGTGCCTCCCGTTCCTCCCACGCCTCCTACGCCTCCTACCCCTCCCGCTCCCCCGGCGCCTCCTATTCCTCCCGTTCCTCCGGCCCCTCCCGTCCCGCCTGCTGTTGTTGTTCCGCGACAGGGGGTTCTGCAGCTTCTCCTCCCCCCTGGCTACTCGGCGTTCGACGCCTTCCTGTCCGAGCCTGAACGCAGCGGCGGCGAAGGATCTTCCTCCGCACCGGAGCCACGATGGGGAGCGCCGGCTGATTGCCCGTTGGACGAATCCGCTACCGGTGCGGACGACGACGTGGAGTTCTGGGCTGCTGACGGTCTCCCCGAGCACCTTCCAATTCCCTCCTTTCCCCCTCCGAATAAAAAAAGGCCCCACCCATCTCGCGATAATCGTGATGCCCGTCCTCCCTCCCCCAGGCACAAGACGACAAAGCACAGGCGCAATTCCTACACGTCGCATGAGAAGCTGCAATGGATTCTGAAGCTCGAAGCCGGAGAGATGAGTGTGCGGCGCATGTCTCGCGAATCCGGCATCTCCCGAAGGTGCCTCACGGAGTGGAAGAACCGCAAGGGTGAGCTTGAGGGCGCGCACGGTGCACGCTGTCGCCTGCACGGCCACGGAAGGAGCTCGTGGTATCGCGACATGGAAGCGGAGGTGTACCGGAGGTTTCTCGCCCACCGCAAGAAGTGCCTCGCCGTCTCGATCGCACGACTGCAGAAGTGGTCGCACGAGGTGATGAAAGAGTTACACCCAGGTGAAAAGTGGGCCGGCTCTCAGCGGTGGACTCAGCGCTTTCGCCGCCGCTGGAACCTGACGACCAGAGCGAAGACCCGGGTTGGCCAGAAGCTCTCGTCCAGTGAGTTGTTATTTGGTGGTATTGTTGTTTGTCTGTTCCCGTCTATTCACGGCTCTCACTCTGTGTTTGTGCTTTCTGTTCCTCCCATCCCGTGTCCCAGACTGCGAGACTGATGTCAAGAACTTCTGGACGTACGTGCGTCACTCCCGCCGGCAGTACAAGATCGACCTGCCGTGGATTCTAAACGCGGACCAGACGCCCCTCTGGCTCGAGATGCCATCCGAACGCACCGTTGAAGAGGTTGGCTCGCGCTCCGTGCCCGTCTGCAGCGGCGGCTACCAGAAAGAGCGGGTTACAGTGATGCTCGCCTGCACCGCCAGCGGGGAGAAGTTGAAGCCTTGGGTCTTCTTCAAAAGGAAGACCGTCCCCAAGGAGATTTCCCTTCAGGTATGCACCACACGTCGATTACGCGGTGGCAAGTCGATGTCAGTTAAAAAATTTAACTAACATCGTGGTTTTGTTGCTGTGCAGATATCCACGTGGGGGTCCATCCCAACGGGTGGATGGACGCGGACGGTGTCATCGAGTGGCTGGACGGGGCGGTGAAGCCGTACATCAACCCCAAGTTTGGAGTCCGCCCCCGCAAAGCTCTGCTCGTCCTCGATTCGTACCGCGGGCACCTGACCCCGGAGGTGAAGAAGAAGTTTGGCGAGCTGAACCTGGTCCCTGCGGTTATCCCTGCTGGCTGCACCTCGGAGATTCAACCCCTCGACGTCGCGGTTAACCGCTCCTTCAAGGCCGCCGTTCGCCAGCTCTACCAGGAGTGGTTTGAGTGTGAGGGGGTCGACACCTTGACGAAGAAAGGTGAGAGGTGCAGCTCTTCTGTTTATGTTTTTATTTCTTTAACCCGTGCTGACCCGGTTTCTGGATTTGCGTGGCAGGCAACATCAAGAAGCCTCCTGTCGAGCTGACGCTCAAGTGGATCTCGGCGGCCTGGAAGTCCGTGCCCAAGGAGCTCATTCAACGGGCGTTCCTCACCTGCGGCATCAGCAACGCCCTGGATGGGTCCCAGGACAAGCTCTGCCTGCAACACAGGCGAGACGAGCTCGAGGGCGAGGAGGTCGACATGGATGATGAAGTTGCTGCACACGGTTTCTTCTGCAACAACGTAGAGGAACCTGAGTCGGACTTTGAGGCCGACCCAGATGACCCCACTGCAGCTGATGATTAGAGTAGGGTAGATTAACTAGTGTAGAAAATGGTGAAGCCTGTGTGAGGCTCGTAGGTAGGAGTAGATTAAGTAGTTGTAGAGTAATTAACATGATGTTTTAGTATACTAATTATGTAAAAGGTCTTCAAATGAAAAAAAAGAAAAAAACTGGGTGGCGGTTACAAAATGTAAGGCACAGGTATGCAGTTATAATCCGTAAGCCTTTTAGGTATGCGCTTATAATCGAGCACCGGATATAAGCGCCACACGCCAATTAAAAGCGCCAGGCGCTTATCCGCGGGTGGCGCTTATATCCGGGGTATGACGGTACAAGTAGTAACGGTAGCGTGTGGAAAATGGGGTGCGCGACGGGCCTAGTGCCGAGGTTGGGGGACTGTCGAGGCGGAGGTCCGGAGCGCGGGTTACCAACCGAACCGTGAGGTTGGGTCGCATCGTGAACAGTGGCGCGTGTTATGAGTTGTAAAAGAGAGTGCGCAAGTTAACGAATAATGAAAAGGTGATTGAACAGAACTGATTATACAATGAAGGCACACGCTAATATAGTGGGCATGCTAGCTAGGAGGGAACTTCAGGTGAGTGAGGTTGGGTGCAGGTTTGGCGAAGAGAAAGGCCGAAGGCGACGCGAGGAGGCTCGGCATCGTTGATGTCGGCCAAAACGTGCAGAGTCCGAAAATCGGGGCTGTACGCAAAGCAGTCAACCCCGATAAGGAATTCGGAAAAATTCCTTACAGCGGGAATGGGGTCGAGGCGAATGTCGCGAGTGGTAACGGAATATTGTGGGGTGTGTGAAAGTAAGCAGTAGAAGAAGGCGCCATAGCTAGGAAAGCCCTAGCTAGGCAAGAAACAGTTTAGGCAAAGAAGGAGAGG